AGGGCCACAACAGCGGCTGTAGGCAAGGCCGCAACCACGGCGGTAGGCAGGGCCGCTACGGCGGCCGTAGGACGGGCCGCGGCGGCGGCAGGCAGGGCCGCGACGGCTTCTGGCAGGGCCGCAACAGCAGGGCGGCAGGGCCGCGACGGGAGGGCAGGGCCGTAACGGCTTCAGGGAGGGCCGCGACGGCACGGTAGGGCCGCGACGGCCGCAGGGAGGGCCGCAACGGCAGGGCGGCAGGGCCGCGACGGCAGAGCGGCAGGGCCGCGACGGCAGGGCAGGGCCGCGACGGCTTCAAACAGGGCCACGACAGCAGGGGCCGCGACGGCAGGGTAGGCGCACGGGGCACAGGTGAGGCAGGCGCGAGGCGCGCGACAGGGGCAGGAGCGCGCTTCGGGCAAGGCAGGATTTTTTTTTTTTTTTTTTAAGTGGTGGGCCCTAAAAAAAAAAAAAAACCGGTCCCACTAGGGAACCCGCTCTATACCATGTGAGAATAGTACGAGGAATGGTGTGGACTAGAAAGGAGATGGGTACAAGTATGAAAACCTAGAAAAAGCTGTACCCCATAATGTCTACCCCACTACAGCCTACACAGGCTATATCATATATGTTTGACAAGCTGTACTGTTATAGGACTTCGGCAACGGCCTACATCCCATCGCATACGAGTCACGGAAACTGCTCCCACCCGAGAAAAACTACCCGATACACGGCCACGAAATGCTCGCGATCGTGCACGCGTTCAAAGTGTGGCTGCTACCTAACTGGCGCCGACATGACAGTACGGACAGACCACAGATCACTACAGTCTCTCCGCGCACAACCCCACCTCAACCCATGACAGATCCGCTAGCTCGACTTCCTCGAGTCGAACTTCCACTACACGGTCACCTATAAAAAGGGTGCTTCGAATATCGCCGACGCACTGACCCGCCCAATTGCCCGGCTTCATGCAATACTACTCGCCCAGACCAGCCCACTGCTCACGGGACTATTCACCCATGGCTATCAAACAGACCCATTCTTCACAAGAGGAAACTCACAGCAGTTTGCAGAAGGATGAGGGGTGTATTACGTAAAAGCCGGCACCGTTCGCATCTGGGTACCGGGCTACACCTTACTGCGCGAGTTACTATTATAGGATGCTCACGATGGAGTTACCTCGGGACATTTTGGGGTCGAAAAAACACGATAGCAGCTGCAGCGGTATTATTATTGCCCCGAGATGCTGACCGACGTGCAATGACACGTGGCATCGTGTCCCACCTGCCAGCTCACGAAGTCGTCACGACAACGACCGGCAGGACAATTGCAGCCCATACCACCCCCAGAGCATGCTTGGCAGTAGGCGACGCTGGACTTCGTCACAGGGTTACCGGCTGGGGCGAGTGGGAATGATGCGATCCTGATCGTCGTCGATCGGCTCACAAAAATGGCACATTTTGAAGCATGCAAGAAGTCGACTCAGCCAAAGAGATAGCACGGCTCTTCATCGCCACAGCCGTTCGACTGCACGGGATACCCGCGGCGATAATCAGCGACCGCGACACGAAATTTACCAGCAACTTTTGGCGGAATCTGTGGCAACAGTTCGGCACACGACTACAATTCAGTTCATCGTACCACCCCGAGACCAACGGTCTAGCAGAATGGACCAATCAGACCATGGAGCAATTAATCCGAGCCACGTGCGACGACCCGGCAACTTGGGAGCAGCAGTTGCCACTCATCAATTTCGCATACAACAACTCCACGTCAGCCACGAACTAACAGTCGCCCTTCTACATCAACTACGGACAGAACGCAACAGTGCCCATGACACCGAACCCCGACAACCCAGTCCCACGTGCGCAGCAGTTTGCCGAGATATTACAACCACCCGGACCCGAGCAGCTGATGCCATAAAAAAAAATCAAATGTCATCGCTAAGCGTAACGCCGACCGCCACCGTCGTCCCGTCACTTACCCGCCCGGCGACCTTGTATTACTCGACACCCAAAACCTCCGCCTGCCCATCACCCCAAAATTACGCCCAAGGTATTGCGGGCCATTTTGAATCAGTCACATGATCACCCCCGTCACCACCCACCTCCTCCTGCCCGCTGATTGGTACGTCAGCCCCTCTTTCCACGCCAGTCTCCTCCGCCCCTACGTCCCATCCACAAGCCAACTACCTCGCAGCCGCCCATAAACCATGACACGACCACCAACCAAGCCAATCATCACCCCCAACAAGATTCTGAGCACCGAGTCCGCGACCCACATGGAGCACGACGCATCGAGATCCTGATACGGTGGAAGGACCACACACCCACGGAGGACAGTTGCCCCCCCCTGGATAAAATCGAGAACCACCCCGTCCTCACCGAGTACCTGCGAAGCAGAACTTCCGCGACATACACGCCCTTTCGTAAGGGGTCCTCCTTGGGGAGGGGGATAGTGTAAGGAAAAATTCCTTGTCCTTACTTCGCACCCTTGATTACCGCATACACGACTGTTCCCACCAACAGCACCCTACAGTAAAATGTTACCACATGCTACACTCGACTTGACTACTATTCCAGCCACGATTCTCATCGCACCCCAACCTCACGGTTCGGCTGGTAACCCGCCCCAAGCAGACCGGTGAAGGGAAATACCTTTTGAACACGCCCCAAGCAGACCGGTGAAGGGAAATACCTTTTGAACACGCCCCAAGCAGACCGGTGAAGGGAAATACCTTTTGAACACGCCCCAAGCAGACCGGTGAAGGGAAATACCTTTTGAACACGCCCCAAGCAGACCGGTGAAGGGAAATACCTTTTGAACACGCCCCAAGCAGACCGGTGAAGGGAAATACCTTTTGAACACGCCCCAAGCAGACCGGTGAAGGGAAATACCTTTTGAACACGCCCCAAGCAGACCGGTGAAGGGAAATACCTTTTGAGCACGCCCCAAGCAGACCGGTGAAGGGAAATACCTTTTGAACACGCCCCAAGCAGACCGGTGAAGGGAAATACCTTTTGAGCACGCCCCAAGCAAACCGGTGAAGGGAATTACCTTTTGAGCACGCCCCAAGCAGACCGGTGAAGGGAAATACATTTTGAACACGCCCCAAGCAGACCGGTGAAGGGAAATACATTTTGAACACGCCCCAAGCAGACCGGTGAAGGGAAATACCTTTTGAACACGCCCCAAGCAGACCGGTGAAGGGAAATACCTTTTGAACACGCCCCAAGCAGACCGGTGAAGGGAAATACCTTTTGAACACGCCCCAAGCAGACCGGTGAAGGGAAATACCTTTTGAACACGCCCCAAGCAGACCGGTGAAGGGAAATACCTTTTGAACACGCCCCAAGCAGACCGGTGAAGGGAAATACCTTTTGAACACGCCCCAAGCAGACCGGTGAAGGGAAATACCTTTTGAACACGCCCCAAGCAGACCGGTGAAGGGAAATACATTTTGAACACGCCCCAAGCAGACCGGTGAAGGAAAATACCTTTTGAACACGCCCCAAGCAGACCGGTGAAGGGAAATACCTTTGGAACACGCCCCAAGCAGACCGGTGAAGGGAAATACCTTTCGAACACGCCCCAGGCAGACCGGTGAAGGGAAATACCTTTTGAACACGCCCCAAGCAGACCGGTGAAGGGAAATACCTTTTGAACACGCCCCAAGCAGACCGGTGAAGGGAAATAACTTTTGAACACGCCCCAAGCAGACCGGTGAAGGGAAATACCTTTTGAACACGCCCCAAGCAGACCGGTGAAGGGAAATACCTTTTGAACACGCCCCAAGCAGACCGGTGAAGGGAAATACCTTTTGAACACGCCCCAAGCAGACCGGTGAAGGGAAATACCTTTTGAGCACGCCCCAAGCAGACCGGTGAAGGGAAATACCTTTTGAACACGCCCCAAGCAGACCGGTGAAGGGAAATACCTTTTGAGCACGCCCCAAGCAAACCGGTGAAGGGAATTACCTTTTGAGCACGCCCCAAGCAGACCGGTGAAGGGAAATACATTTTGAACACGCCCCAAGCAGACCGGTGAAGGGAAATACCTTTTGAACACGCCCCAGGCAGACCGGTGAAGGGAAATACCTTTTGAACACGCCCCAAGCAGACCGGTGAAGGGAAATACCTTTTGAACACGCCCCAAGCAGACCGGTGAAGGGAAATACCTTTTGAACACGCCCCAAGCAGACCGGTGAAGGGAAATACCTTTTGAACACGCCCCAAGCAGACCGGTGAAGGGAAATACCTTTTGAACACGCCCCAAGCAGACCGGTGAAGGGAAATACCTTTTGAGCACGCCCCAAGCAGACCGGTGAAGGGAAATACCTTTTGAACACGCCCCAAGCAGACCGGTGAAGGGAAATACCTTTTGAGCACGCCCCAAGCAAACCGGTGAAGGGAAATACCTTTTGAGCACGCCCCAAGCAGACCGGTGAAGGGAAATACATTTTGAACACGCCCCAAGCAGACCGGTGAAGGGAAATACATTTTGAACACGCCCCAAGCAGACCGGTGAAGGGAAATACCTTTTGAACACGCCCCAAGCAGACCGGTGAAGGGAAATACCTTTTGAACACGCCCCAAGCAGACCGGTGAAGGGAAATACCTTTTGAACACGCCCCAAGCAGACCGGTGAAGGGAAATACCTTTTGAACACGCCCCAAGCAGACCGGTGAAGGGAAATACCTTTTGAACACGCCCCAAGCAGACCGGTGAAGGGAAATACCTTTTGAACACGCCCCAAGCAGACCGGTGAAGGGAAATACCTTTTGAACACGCCCCAAGCAGACCGGTGAAGGGAAATACCTTTTGAACACGCCCCAAGCAGACCGGTGAAGGGAAATACCTTTTGAACACGCCCCAAGCAGACCGGTGAAGGGAAATACCTTTTGAACACGCCCCAAGCAGACCGGTGAAGGGAAATACCTTTTGAGCACGCCCCAAGCAGACCGGTGAAGGGAAATACCTTTTGAACACGCCCCAAGCAGACCGGTGAAGGGAAATACCTTATGAGCACGCCCCAAGCAAACCGGTGAAGGGAAATACCTTTTGAACACGCCCCAAGCAGACCGGTGAAGGGAAATACCTTTTGAACACGCCCCAAGCAGACCGGTGAAGGGAAATACATTTTGAACACGCCCCAAGCAGACCGGTGAAGGGAAATACCTTTTGAGCACGCCCCAAGCAGACCGGTGAAGGGAAATACCTTTTGAACACGCCCCAAGCAGACCGGTGAAGGGAAATACCTTTTGAACACGCCCCAAGCAGACCGGTGAAGGGAAATACCTTTTGAACACGCCCCAAGCAGACCAGTGAAGGGAAGTACCTTTTGAACACGCCCCAAGCAGACCGGTGAAGGGAAATACCTTTTGAACACGCCCCAAGCAGACTGGTGAAGGGAAATACCTTTTGAACACGCCCCAAGCAGACCGGTGAAGGGAAATACCTTTTGAACACGCCCCAAGCAGACCGGTGAAGGGAAATACCTTTTGAACACGCCCCAAGCAGACCGGTGAAGGGAAATACCTTTTGAACACGCCCCAAGCAGACCGGTGAAGGGAAATACCTTTTGAACACGCCCCAAGCAGACCGGTGAAGGGAAATACCTTTTGAACACGCCCCAAGCAGACCGGTGAAGGGAAATACCTTTTGAACACGCCCCAAGCAGACCGGTGAAGGGAAATACCTTTTGAACACGCCCCAAGCAGACCGGTGAAGGGAAATACCTTTTGAACACGCCCCAAGCAGACCGGTGAAGGGAAATACCTTTTGAACACGCCCCAAGCAGACCGGTGAAGGGAAATACCTTTTGAACACGCCCCAAGCAGACCGGTGAAGGGAAGAGGCAATGCATCCCACCAGGGCCTCACACCCCAGTCCTCATTCAATCGGACCAGAGCCAGCTGCTCCCCAACCACCTGCCGAACCTCCTCCCGCCCGCCCCCTGCTGCCCGCAGCACCTCCCGGACCTGTGCCACAGGCTCGGACACAGCAGCTTGGTTCGGAGCTGCCGAAGCGGATTGAGTGGGTTGGAGAGATGAGGTGAGGGCCGAGGGGTGGGTGGAGGAGGGCGGGAGGAGGGCGAGGGGGAGGGAGAGGAGGAGGGAGTTGGGCGAGAGGAGGAGGCGCTGGTGGGAGTGTTGCAGGCGATGGTGGAATGCTGCGAACTCACGTATCTGCCACGGGGGAAGAGATAGGGGGGGAGACGGATGGGGGAATTACCGGGGAGGGTGAAGGGGGATAGGGGGGAAGGTTAATGGGACTAGATGGGAGAAGGAAGAGCGATAGGGAGGAGAGGGTTTATTATTGCAGCTGAATGAGCAAGTGCTGACGATGACAGGAAGGGTGCAAACTCTCGGGGTCTGACAGGGGAGCGGGGTCTGACAGGGGAGTGGGGTGGTGTGATGTGATCTCGTGAAGCTCTCACTGATTTAATCCCACTCATCCCTGCAATCATCACTGCAATCATCACTGCAATCATCACTGCAATCATCCCTGCAATCATCCCTGCAATCATCACTGCAATCATCACTGCAATCATCCCTGCAATCATCACTGCAATCATCCCTGCAATCATCCCTGCAATCATCCCTGCAATCATCACTGCAATCATCACTGCAATCATCCCTGCAATCATCACTGCAATCATCCCTGCAATCATCCCTGCAATCATCACTGCAATCATCCCTGCAATCATCCCTGCAATCATCCCTGCAATCATCCCTGCAATCATCCCTGCAATCATGACTGCAATCATCACTGCAATCATCCCTGCAATCATCCCTGCAATCATCACTGCAATCATCACTGCAATCATCCCTGCAATCATCACTGCAATCATCACTGCAATCATCCCTGCAATCATCACTGCAATCATCCCTGCAATCATCCCTGCAATCATCACTGCAATCATCCCTGCAATCATCCCTGCAATCATCCCTGCAATCATCCCTGCAATCATCCCTGCAATCATCACTGCAATCATCACTGCAATCATCACTGCAATCATCCCTGCAATCATCACTGCAATCATCACCTTTGAGAACGTGCCGCGCCTGAGAGCCTCCATGCTGACGTCAGCGTTGTCCCGCCACACGTGGTCGTTGAAAAAGGCGCACATGTCAGCGTGCAGCCCGCTGATGTCAGCAAGCGATGCCGATTGGTGCAGGTACGGCAGCACGAGGTGAGTGAGCGTGTCCAGCTGAATGTGCTTCGCGTTCAAACGCTGGAAGCTGGTGGTAGGGGACATGGATGGGAGTTCCGGGAGCGAAGACACGGCGAAAGGACACGAGGAAGAAGACATAGCGAAAAGGTTATACCAGGAGAGTTCCGGGAGCGAAGACACGGCGAAAGGACACGAGGAAGAAGACATAGGGAAAAGGTTATACCAGGAGATAGAGGGTGAAAGCTTATCCAACTGTATGTGATTCATGTGAAAGTTCAAACACTGGAAGCTGGTGGGAGAAAGGGACGAGAGACGTGAGAGGGCAGAAAGGGGAGACAGAGTGAAAATAAAGGTCCATTCGAGTGAGAAGCTGGTTACCCTATTTACTGGGAGTGGGCGAGGGAGGGGTACTGAGGCAGGCGATGCAAAAGGGCCCAACCTTATACCCCTCGCGCGAGGGGAATTCGGCCCCTACCTCAGATAGCAAGGGGCACTGAAGCAGGCCATGCTATCAAGGCCACGGGCACTCGATGCAGTTACAGGGTAACCACGTGGTTGCCACTTACCTGGCGAGGGCGAGGGAAGGGCACCCCAGCAGGCCATAGAGGCTCACAAGCATGGTGTTGAACAGTGGGCTGAAGCTGAAGAAAGGGGGAATCGTGGGAGAAGGGAAGGGGTGGAGAAGAGGAATTAGGCAGCAAGCACGAAGGGCCATGCAGACTGATAGGCATGGTGCCGAAGAGAGGCCTGATTTTGGTAACTTGGAAGGAAACGTGCCAAGGAAGGGTGGGGTAGTGGGGTTGGGGGGGAGCAGGGAATGCACAGCGATGCAGAGTGGTATTGCGACAGCACGTCAAGGTGCTATGGTGGCGTTGTGACAGCACGTCAAGGTGCTATGGTGGCGTTGTGACAGCACGTCAAGGTGCTATGGTGGCGTTGTGACACCACGTCAAGGTGCTATGGTGGCGTTGTGACACCACGTCAAGGTGCTATGGTGGCGTTGTGACACCACGTCAAGGTGCTATGGTGGCGTTGTGACACCACGTCAAGGTGCTACGGTGGCGTTGTGACACCACGTCAAGGTGCTATGGTGGCGTTGTGACAGCACGTCAAGGTGCTATGGTGGCGTTGTGACAGCACGTCAAGGTGCTATGGTGGCGTTGTGACACCACGTCAAGGTGCTACGGTGGCGTTGTGACAACACGTCAAGGTGCTATGGTGGCGTTGTGACAGCACGTCAAGGTGCTATGGTGGCGTTGTGACAGCACGTCAAGGTGCTATGGTGGCGTTGTGACACCACGTCAAGGTGCTACGGTGGCGTTGTGACAGCACGTCAAGGTGCTATGGTGGCGTTGTGACACCACGTCAAGGTGCTATGGTGGCGTTGTGACAGCACGTCAAGGTGCTATGGTGGCGTTGTGACACCACGTCAAGGTGCTACGGTGGCATTGTGACAGCACGTCAAGGTGCTATGGTGGCGTTGTGACAGCACGTCAAGGTGCTATGGTGGCGTTGTGACAGCACGTCAAGGTGCTATGGTGGCGTTGTGACACCACGTCAAGGTGCTACGGTGGCGTTGTGACAACACGTCAAGGTGCTACGGTGGCGTTGTGACAGCACGTCAAGGTGCTATGGTGGCGTTGTGACAGCACGTCAAGGTGCTATGGTGGCGTTGTGACACCACGTCAAGGTGCTACGGTGGCGTTGTGACAGCACGTCAAGGTGCTATGGTGGCGTTGTGACACCACGTCAAGGTGCTATGGTGGCGTTGTGACACCACGTCAAGGTGCTATGGTGGCGTTGTGACAGCACGTCAAGGTGCTATGGTGGCGTTGTGACAAAGCACAACCCTGCAAGCTCTTCAGGAGGACAAGGAACAGGTGGACATAGAATTGAAAGAGAAAATAAAAGAAACGAAAAGAATAGAAAACGAAAGAAAGGAGGGCCGCAAGGAGTGTGGGGACGTACGGGCGGAGGGAGGCGCCATAGGTGAGCACCAATATCGCCTCTATCAGGTATCCCACGCCCTCAGGCTGGCGCCGGCGGTATACCTGACAGACAGGAGGGGGCGGGTGGGGAAGAGGAGATGGAATAAGGGGCTCACTGGAGTTCTCCACGCCCTCTGGCTGGTGCTGGCGGTTTACCTGGAGAGGGGAAGCAAGGGATTTGGAATATTGCACCACTTTGCACCGCACTGCATTGCACTGCATTGCTCAACTTCACCAAGGTACGAGGCCGCCACAGACAGCAGCTTGTCTGCATGCACCTTCTACCAGGGGCCTGAACTACAGAATGTTCTGGCACGACATCAGGTGTATGCACTGCACCACATTGCACTGCACCACATTGCACTGCACCACATTGCACTGCACCACATTGCACTGCACCACATTGCACTGCACCACATTGCACAACACTGCCCCTCACTACCCCACATTGCACTGTGCTACATCGCATCGTTCACCTCCACAAGGCACAAGGCAGCAACGGGCAGCAGCTCGTCGCATGCCAAACCCAGATGTATGCCATGCACCACCACACTGCACCAAGTCACACCATACTCCACCGTACTGCACCACATTCCACCGCACTGCACCACACCACTCACCTCCACGAGGCACGAGGCAGCAACGGGCAGCAGCTCGTCCGCATGCCCCTTCTCGCGGGGGTCCAGAGCGGCAGAGAGCAGGGAAGCTTCCAGGAAGAGGCGGACGCAGTGCTGTGCACGAGAGATGAGGGCTGATGGTAATGGGTAACCAGGGTTGGGTGATGAGAAGGTGGGGAGGGGAAAGGGGTTGGGGATGGGAAGGGGTTGGGATGGGGAAGGGGATGGGGATGGGAATTGGTATGGAGATGGGGTGGGGAACGAGGGGATGGAGAAGGAAAGTCCGAAAGGAAGAGCGCCAGGCAAAGAGGAGGTGCCTCAACAGCTGGCTGTGTCCATGCCCCACCCCACATGCACTCACCATGGTAGTCCACGGTGCACCAGTTACCCATGGCCCCATCCACCTGCTCCACACTTATCATCACCAGCATCATCACCATCAGCATCAGCATCAGCATCAGCATCAGCATCAGCACCATCAACACCACCACATGCACTCACCATGGTCATCCAGGGCCCGCCAGTTACCCATGGCCCCATCCACCTGCTCCACACTTATTATCCTCCGCAGCCGCCTCCTCATCTCCCTCATCGCCTCCCCCTCCCTCCTCTCACTCTCACCCTCCTCCTTTCCTCCCTCTTTCTCCCCCTCTTCTCTCCTCCCCTCCTTCCCTCCCTCCTCCCTCTGCTCCTCCCCACTCTCCCCAGCCCAGATTCCTCCCATTCCCAAACCAAGTGGTTCCAAGCCTGTCAGCTTGCTTCGGAGCTCGGCCCCGAGCCTAGCCCGGACGTCCTTGGGCAGAGCCAGGGCGTAGGCGTGGACGTCCGAGGCAAAGCTGATCATGTCACCGTGCCTGAGAGAGAGGTTCGGCAAAAGACAGAGAGAGGGTAGGGAAGAGGGGAAAGGGGACTGAGGATAAGGCACAGATAAGCAGGAAGAAGCGAGAATGCCGGGTCGAGAGGGAGAGAATGAGAGATGAATGAAAATAGATCAGATAGGACCTCCCAGGACCTCCCAGGACCTCCCAGGTCAGCGACAAGCAACAGGCAGCACCTCCTCTTAGCTGCGTCGCTTTGTTTGCGGCACCCATCTATACCAATCTAAACCACTCACGCACACCACCCACCTGTCGAAGTAGCCCGGCAGCAGCAGATAGCACCTCCTCCAGATAGTTACGAATCAGGCCACTCACCTGTCAAAGTAGCCCAGCAGGGCGCTTTCCAGGTCGGCAGCAGCAGATAGCACCTCCCCCGGGCCGCACCCAAACCACTGCAGCAGGCACATGCGTCTGAGCAGCACCTCCAGGCGCATCAGAAACGGTCCCCTCGCCACGCGCGCACCCTTGCTGCTTGCTGCCGCTTTCACCACCACATCTGCATCCCCACCCTTGCTGCTTGCTGCCGCTTTCACCACCACATCTGCATCCCCACCCTTGCTGCTTGCTGCCGCTTTCACCACCACATCTGCATCCCCACCCGCTGCTGCCTCTCCCTCTGCTGCTGCGTTGCTTGCACAACTCAGATCCTCTCCCCCTGCCTCTGCCTCTTCGGCCCCGTCCTGCTCGCAGCCCTCCTCCACCTTTTTCATTTCCGGCTGCCCGCTGCCCGAGAGGCACTGGTGTGATGAGTGCTGTGCCAGGAGGCTGTCCCTGAGGCCCTGGAAGTACCGATCGGCTTCTGAGAGAATCCGAAAGAGCTGGAGGGAGGAGGGGGGAGAGGGGGGGTTGTGCAGCATACACAGGTACAAACAATGAGAGTGTTAGGGTGGTGGGGAGAGGGCGGGAGGAAAGTTGAGAGGCAGGCTTCCCCCGAGTGCTGCGCCACTCGGAGGGTTGGAGAGCAGGTTGGAGGGTTGGTGCAGCGAAGGACAGCGAGGTGGAGAACAGGAGGATCGGGAGGGAAGAGCAGGGCAGAAGGGAGGTGGAGAACAGGAGGATCGGGAGGGAAGAGCAGGGCAGAAGGGAGGTGGAGAACAGGAGGATCGGGAGGGAAGAGCAGGGCAGAAGGGAGGTGGAGAACAGGAGGATCGGGAGGGAAGAGCAGGGCAGAAGGGAGGTGGAGAACAGGAGGATCGGGAGGGAAGAGCAGGGCAGAAGGGAGGTGGAGAACAGGAGGATCGGGAGGGAAGAGCAGGGCAGAAGGGAGGTGGAGAACAGGAGGATCGGGAGGGAAGAGCAGGGCAGAAGGGAGGTGGAGAACAGGAGGATCGGGAGGGAAGAGCAGGGCAGAAGGGAGGTGGAGAACAGGAGGATCGGGAGGGAAGAGCAGGGCAGAAGGGAGGTGGAGAACAGGAGGATCGGGAGGGAAGAGCAGGGCAGAAGGGAGGTGGAGAACAGGAGGATCGGGAGGGAAGAGCAGGGCAGAAGGGAGGTGGAGAACAGGAGGATCGGGAGGGAAGAGCAGGGCAGAAGGGAGGTGGAGAACAGGAGGATCGGGAGGGAAGAGCAGGGCAGAAGGGAGGTGGAGAACAGGAGGATCGGGAGGGAAGAGCAGGGCAGAAGGGAGGTGGAGAACAGGAGGATCGGGAGGGAAGAGCAGGGCAGAAGGGAGGTGGAGAACAGGAGGATCGGGAGGGAAGAGCAGGGCAGAAGGGAGGTGGAGAACAGGAGGATCGGGAGGGAAGAGCAGGGCAGAAGGGAGGTGGAGAACAGGAGGATCGGGAGGGAAGAGCAGGGCAGAAGGGAGGTGGAGAACAGGAGGATCGGGAGGGAAGAGCAGGGCAGAAGGGAGGTGGAGAACAGGAGGATCGGGAGGGAAGAGCAGGGCAGAAGGGAGGTGGAGAACAGGAGGATCGGGAGGGAAGAGCAGGGCAGAAGGGAGGTGGAGAACAGGAGGATCGGGAGGGAAGAGCAGGGCAGAAGGGAGGTGGAGAACAGGAGGATCGGGAGGGAAGAGCAGGGCAGAAGGGAGGTGGAGAACAGGAGGATCGGGAGGGAAGAGCAGGGCAGAAGGGAGGTGGAGAACAGGAGGATCGGGAGGGAAGAGCAGGGCAGAAGGGAGGTGGAGAACAGGAGGATCGGGAGGGAAGAGCAGGGCAGAAGGGAGGTGGAGAACAGGAGGATCGGGAGGGAAGAGCAGGGCAGAAGGGAGGTGGAGAACAGGAGGATCGGGAGGGAAGAGCAGGGCAGAAGGGAGGTGGAGAACAGGAGGATCGGGAGGGAAGAGCAGGGCAGAAGGGAGGTGGAGAACAGGAGGATCGGGAGGGAAGAGCAGGGCAGAAGGGAGGTGGAGAACAGGAGGATCGGGAGGGAAGAGCAGGGCAGAAGGGAGGTGGAGAACAGGAGGATCGGGAGGGAAGAGCAGGGCAGAAGGGAGGTGGAGAACAGGAGGATCGGGAGGGAAGAGCAGGGCAGAAGGGAGGTGGAGAACAGGAGGATCGGGAGGGAAGAGCAGGGCAGAAGGGAGGTGGAGAACAGGAGGATCGGGAGGGAAGAGCAGGGCAGAAGGGAGGTGGAGAACAGGAGGATCGGGAGGGAAGAGCAGGGCAGAAGGGAGGTGGAGAACAGGAGGATCGGGAGGGAAGAGCAGGGCAGAAGGGAGGTGGAGAACAGGAGGATCGGGAGGGAAGAGCAGGGCAGAAGGGAGGTGGAGAACAGGAGGATCGGGAGGGAAGAGCAGGGCAGAAGGGAGGTGGAGAACAGGAGGATCGGGAGGGAAGAGCAGGGCAGAAGGGAGGTGGAGAACAGGAGGATCGGGAGGGAAGAGCAGGGCAGAAGGGAGGTGGAGAACAGGAGGATCGGGAGGGAAGAGCAGGGCAGAAGGGAGGTGGAGAACAGGAGGATCGGGAGGGAAGAGCAGGGCAGAAGGGAGGTGGAGAACAGGAGGATCGGGAGGGAAGAGCAGGGCAGAAGGGAGGTGGAGAACAGGAGGATCGGGAGGGAAGAGCAGGGCAGAAGGGAGGTGGAGAACAGGAGGATCGGGAGGGAAGAGCAGGGCAGAAGGGAGGTGGAGAACAGGAGGATCGGGAGGGAAGAGCAGGGCAGAAGGGAGGTGGAGAACAGGAGGATCGGGAGGGAAGAGCAGGGCAGAAGGGAGGTGGAGAACAGGAGGATCGGGAGGGAAGAGCAGGGCAGAAGGGAGGTGGAGAACAGGAGGATCGGGAGGGAAGAGCAGGGCAGAAGGGAGGTGGAGAACAGGAGGATCGGGAGGGAAGAGCAGGGCAGAAGGGAGGTGGAGAACAGGAGGATCGGGAGGGAAGAGCAGGGCAGAAGGGAGGTGGAGAACAGGAGGATCGGGAGGGAAGAGCAGGGCAGAAGGGAGGTGGAGAACAGGAGGATCGGGAGGGAAGAGCAGGGCAGAAGGGAGGTGGAGAACAGGAGGATCGGGAGGGAAGAGCAGGGCAGAAGGGAGGTGGAGAACAGGAGGATCGGGAGGGAAGAGCAGGGCAGAAGGGAGGTGGAGAACAGGAGGATCGGGAGGGAAGAGCAGGGCAGAAGGGAGGTGGAGAACAGGAGGATCGGGAGGGAAGAGCAGGGCAGAAGGGAGGTGGAGAACAGGAGGATCGGGAGGGAAGAGCAGGGCAGAAGGGAGGTGGAGAACAGGAGGATCGGGAGGGAAGAGCAGGGCAGAAGGGAGGTGGAGAACAGGAGGATCGGGAGGGAAGAGCAGGGCAGAAGGGAGGTGGAGAACAGGAGGATCGGGAGGGAAGAGCAGGGCAGAAGGGAGGTGGAGAACAGGAGGATCGGGAGGGAAGAGCAGGGCAGAAGGGAGGTGGAGAACAGGAGGATCGGGAGGGAAGAGCAGGGCAGAAGGGAGGTGGAGAACAGGAGGATCGGGAGGGAAGAGCAGGGCAGAAGGGAGGTGGAGAACAGGAGGATCGGGAGGGAAGAGCAGGGCAGAAGGGAGGTGGAGAACAGGAGGATCGGGAGGGAAGAGCAGGGCAGAAGGGAGGTGGAGAACAGGAGGATCGGGAGGGAAGAGCAGGGCAGAAGGGAGGTGGAGAACAGGAGGATCGGGAGGGAAGAGCAGGGCAGAAGGGAGGTGGAGAACAGGAGGATCGGGAGGGAAGAGCAGGGCAGAAGGGAGGTGGAGAACAGGAGGATCGGGAGGGAAGAGCAGGGCAGAAGGGAGGTGGAGAACAGGAGGATCGGGAGGGAAGAGCAGGGCAGAAGGGAGGTGGAGAACAGGAGGATCGGGAGGGAAGAGCAGGGCAGAAGGGAGGTGGAGAACAGGAGGATCGGGAGGGAAGAGCAGGGCAGAAGGGAGGTGGAGAACAGGAGGATCGGGAGGGAAGAGCAGGGCAGAAGGGAGGTGGAGAACAGGAGGATCGGGAGGGAAGAGCAGGGCAGAAGGGAGGTGGAGAACAGGAGGATCGGGAGGGAAGAGCAGGGCAGAAGGGAGGTGGAGAACAGGAGGATCGGGAGGGAAGAGCAGGGCAGAAGGGAGGTGGAGAACAGGAGGATCGGGAGGGAAGAGCAGGGCAGAAGGGAGGTGGAGAACAGGAGGATCGGGAGGGAAGAGCAGGGCAGAAGGGAGGTGGAGAACAGGAGGATCGGGAGGGAAGAGCAGGGCAGAAGGGAGGTGGATAACAGGAGGATCGGGAGGGAAGAGCAGGGCAGAAGGGAGGTGGAGAACAGGAGGATCGGGAGGGAAGAGCAGGGCAGAAGGGAGGTGGAGAACAGGAGGATCGGGAGGGAAGAGCAGGGCAGAAGGGAGGTGGAGAACAGGAGGATCGGGAGGGAAGAGCAGGGCAGAAGGGAGGTGGAGAACAGGAGGATCGGGAGGGAAGAGCAGGGCAGAAGGGAGGTGGAGAACAGGAGGATCGGGAGGGAAGAGCAGGGCAGAAGGGAGGTGGAGAACAGGAGGATCGGGAGGGAAGAGCAGGGCAGAAGGGAGGTGGAGAACAGGAGGATCGGGAGGGAAGAGCAGGGCAGAAGGGAGGTGGAGAACAGGAGGATCGGGAGGGAAGAGCAGGGCAGAAGGGAGGTGGAGAACAGGAGGATCGGGAGGGAAGAGCAGGGCAGAAGGGAGGTGGAGAACAGGAGGATCGGGAGGGAAGAGCAGGGCAGAAGGGAGGTGGAGAACAGGAGGATCGGGAGGGAAGAGCAGGGCAGAAGGGAGGTGGAGAACAGGAGGATCGGGAGGGAAGAGCAGGGCAGAAGGGAGGTGGAGAACAGGAGGATCGGGAGGGAAGAGCAGGGCAGAAGGGAGGTGGAGAACAGGAGGATCGGGAGGGAAGAGCAGGGCAGAAGGGAGGTGGAGAACAGGAGGATCGGGAGGGAAGAGCAGGGCAGAAGGGAGGTGGAGAACAGGAGGATCGGGAGGGAAGAGCGGGGCAGAAGGGAGGTGGAGAACAGGAGGATCGGGAGGGAAGAGCAGGGCAGAAGGGAGGTGGAGAACAGGAGGATCGGGAGGGAAGAGCAGGGCAGAAGGGAGGTGGAGAACAGGAGGATCGGGAGGGAAGAGCAGGGCAGAAGGGAGGTGGAACTTGGAGGCGAGCAGAAGGTGGGGCGAGGAGAGTGGGGCGTTGGAAAAAAGAGGAGAGCTCCAAAGAGATACAGACACAGACGAAGGTGCTCTGGGGAGGTGCTCTAAGCACCCTAAACACCATGAGCCCCATACCCCATTCCCCATAACCCATGCCCCATGTCCCATGCCCCATGCCCCATGCCCCATGTCCCATGCCCCATGCCCCATGCCCCATGCCCCATGCCCCATGCCCCATGCCCCATGCCCCATGCCCCATGCCCTATGCCCCACACAATGCCAGTCGCCCCATGGCAAAAGCCCCAGCCCCCCTCACCTCCTCCTGAATGCGCTTGCTCCCCGGCGCCCTGCACGCCACATCCAGGGCCGTTGCTGCCGCCCCCACTGCACACACACTCTCCCACTCGCCCCCGTCCATCCCTCCCTCACTCCCTCCACCACCATCCCCCCCTCCTCCGCCCTCTCGCCCCTCCTCCCAAGCCCCTCCCCCCTGCAGCATCCGCAGCAGCAGCCCCTGCATTAGCCAGCTCTCCCTTGTGGCCCACTCCCTCCCACACTCCGCCGCACCTCCTCCCAAACCTCCTCCCGAACCAGAGCTCGTGTGCGAGGCAGCTGCTGCAGGTTTTTCGCCAGCTGTAGCAGCTGTAGCTTGGGCTGTAGCAGCAGCAGACGAAGCTGTAGCAGCATCAGCAGTGACAGCTGCTACAGCCTCGTTGAGAGGAGTGGTGAGGGATGACTGCAGGTGGGCTAGCATGAGTGAATCCAGATAGGACAAGGATGCCACCCAGTCATCATCACTGCATGCATGGGCGACAGGGAAAACAGAGGGGTGAAAGAAGGTTGGATACAGTATGCAGGAATATTAAGATTTGGCAAAATGAGGACTCTTAACGGAACGCTCCTCCCCTTCTCTCATTTCCTCATCTCTTTCTTTCTCACTCTCACAGCACACCCTCATTCTCTCACCTCAAATTTTCTCACCTCATACCTTCACTCGCGCACCTCACTCCCTCACCCGCTCACCTCACTCCCCCACTCACTCACCTCACTCCCTCACTCGCCCACCTGACTCCCTCACTCGCTCACCTCACTCCCTCACTCGCTCACCTCACTCCCTCACTCGCCCACCTCACTCCCTCACTCGCTCACCTCACTCCCTCACTCGCCCACCTCACTCCCTCACCCACTCACCTCACTCCCTCACTCGCCCACCTCACTCCCTCACCCACTCACCTCACTCCCTCACTCGCTCACCTCACTCGCTCACCTCACGCCGAGCAGCTCCTTGAACGTGGCAGCAGCATCAGTGAAGCGCGCCAAGTCCTGCTGCACCTCGCCCTGTGGACCGTGGGTCACACCGTGTGTGTGGGTGTGGGCGTGTGTGTGAGCGACATGTGAATACATGTGAGACGTGTGAGTGAGTGGAGGTGGGGATGTGGGGTGTGGGTGGGTGTGACCGTGTGTGCGGGTTGGGTGAGTAAGTGGGTGAGTGGGTGTAGGTAGGTTGATGCGCGTGGGTGTGAGGTGGCTAAAACGGATGAATACGCAACAGCAGAGCATCAACACAGAAGCCCGATCTACTCAACGTGAAACTATGCACTGTCAGCCATGCATGTCCCACCAACCAGTGAGACAGACAGAGAAACCATCCAGGCACTTATAAACGCCAATTAAATACCACCTACCCGGATCTGCAGCAGATCTGATTTGATTGTAAAGAGGGCGGCCATGGGCCCTTGCAGCACTCTCACCACCTCCTCCCCCTTTCCCTGCCGCCTCAGTAAATCCACATACAGACGAAGTGCTGGGAGGGGGGAGGGGGAGGAGAGGGCAGATCAGAGGGAGGATGGGGATAAGAAGAAGAGAAGTGAGATGGAGAAGGGAGGGGGAGGGGCAAGGGAGAGTGCTTGCGGTGTTTGGGGAGTCAATAGTTGGTGAAACCAGGTCCCAAACCCCTTGCGCCACTCTCATCGCACCACCTCCTCCCCTTTGCCGCAGGCCAGGCGCTTGCTATTTGGTGATTCGCCACCTGCCTCGCCAGCTGTAGCAGCTACAGCAGCTGCCCCTATGCAATCACGAATTCCCCAAGTGTGCCCTCTCACCTTCAGCCGATTTCAGCCCTCCCTCGCTCTGTGCCTTCCTCTGGATCATCGCCTCTGCCAGCTGGAGCAGCTGCCGCCGCTGCTTTGCCACGTCAGCTGCCGACGCCGGTGTGGGCGGCGCTGACGTGGCACCTGGTGCTGACGTGGCGGCAGCTGGAGCTGGCAGGTGGAAGGAGGAGACTGATGGCGGAAGGTGGCAGACTGTGTGATTCTGCTTCTCGAATGCCTGAAGGGGCATGGGAAGCCGATGAGTGGGAAGAGAAAGGGATGAGAGGAGAGAGAGGGTTGGGAGGAGAAAGTGGTGAGGGGAGAGAGAGTGGGGACAAGAGATGGATGGACTGAGAGAGTGGAAAAAGAGGGAGAGATGAAATGGTGTAGGTCGGCCACAGCCACTCACCTGCAGGTCCATGCTACAGACAGCCCAGAGCAGGTATCTGTCATCTTGTGGCCACTTTCTGTGTAGGCGCATGGCGGCCTGCTACAGCCGGAACGGGACAGCCCCTCACCTGGAGGTCCATGCTACAGACGGCCCAGAGGAGGTATCTGTCATCTTTTGGTCTCTTCTTGTGCATGCGCATGGCGGCCTGCTGCATCTTCACGTAGCCTCGGCTCTTCAGTGCTGCCCCCACCAGCAGCTCCTGCAGCTTCATGTTGTCCGCCTGCTGCGCTGCTGCTGCCTCAAACGCCTCTACTGCCTCGTGGGCTGAGATGGGATGGAGTTGAGAAGGGGCGATACAAGGACAGGGAGGTTTTGAAGTGTCACCCCCACCAGCAACTCCTCATGTTGTCCGCCTGCTGCGCTGCTGCTGCTTCAAACGCCTCTACTGCCTCGTGGGCTGAGAGAGGAAGCGGGGGTGGGAGGGGGCAATACAAGGACAGGGGGGTCTCTTCAGTGCCGCCCACTCCAGCAGGCCCGGGACCTCCATGCTGTCTCTCTGCCGCGCTGCTGCTGCCTCAAACGCCTGTGCTGCCTCGTGGGCTGCACTGCAAGAGAGGGAGAGAGGGTCGCAAGCGGGTGGAGGGAGGGGGGAATGAGACAGGGGAAGGCAAAGGGAGGTTCATGAGGGTCCACTCTCACAGTCAGGCCTCCCGTTTGACTACCACATAATAGGAGGTGCCAACTAAATGACAGAGCATGCCGCCCAGCGCACCTTTGCCCATTCTCGTCATGAGATCCGTGAGGTCCATGAGCGTGCGCTCTGTGAGGTGCCCCTCTCTTTTCAACTAAACGACAGAGGATGCCGCCCACCTTTGCCCATGCGTGCCAGGAGATCCATGAGGTCCATGAGCGTGCGCTCCGAGAGCTGCCCCGCGCGCCCCTCCTCCCGCACCTCCGCGCACACCTCCAGCGCCTCCCCCTCCCGCCCCATGCGGTACAGCACCAGCGCCTTCACCAGCTGCCCGGGGGGGAGGGAGAAGGCGCAGATGGTGGGGGTGGTTGTGGGGAATGGGGGAAGGAGGGAGAGAGGGGGTTGAAGGGGAGGATAGAGGGGAAGGGGAGGGAAGACGAGGCGAGGGGGAGACGAAAAAGAGGGAGGGGGTTTCGGGTTTAGCATCTGCCCGCAGGTTGACCAACCTTCGCCTTCCATTTCCGCAGCCCTTTTACGAAGAAGGAAACCTCGGGACTTTTCACGGGACCTTAATCTTCCTCTGATCAAACTACCAGTTTTGCTCAACTTCTGAATCCACGACCACGACCACGACCACTCGTTATCACGAGCATCGCATTCCGCCGATCAAAGCCGATCAAACGTCCAATGCAGCCGTCTGGCAACGGAAAACAATCCCGCAAAGACTACTGCGCTCTTCTGATGGGATCGGCGAAGCGTTATTACCGCCATGAACAGGGTGCATCAAGGATCCACTCATTGCTGTGTACTTCGTTCAGAACAAGCCTGGTAGCACACGAGCAGTAGCAGCTTCACGGCTGTACAAAACACTCTACAGATGTACAGCGAGCCTGGCAGGCTGTCCCGCGTCGCTTCTTACTACCACGCTGCTCAAGTAGCGACGCCAACTGGTAGCATGCGCTTAAAGTCGCATGCTACTATCGTTACATTAGTAGAAGTCACCTGAATCTGGTAACTAATAACAGCGCACCTTAATCGGAGCCTGGTCATTTCCCGCTTTCTGAACAAGTGTATTAACGAGCTTCAATGCGCCTTTCAGATTCCGCGAATCGACCATGTCGTACACTGGTCGTAATCGCCGGTCTAAAACCTGCTCCGCGGCGCGCTGCTGCCGTTCATGCTGCTGCAGCGGGAGCGGCATGTTGGCGAAATGGCTGTCAAGAAGCAACATGGCGCCTAGAATGTGACTAGTTCATGAGCCTAAACAAAGTACATGGCAGTTCATGCTTTTCGAGGGTGGGAGCTCTGGTGTGGAGTGGACGCTAGGGGCTGAGGAACTGCTGTAGCGTTATTGAATGAGTCGATTGTGCCGTTATTGATTACTACGTATGCAGTGGATAAAAGGGTCTGATATTTTTGGGTTGCGTAACAACCCCTTTACATTTGGTAGCACTTTTTTCGGTCGACTCGAATGAACAGTGCACATTTTTGTCATATTCCCAACATCTGAAGCACTAGCTTTAACGTTTTGAGAACGTGTGCTTCAAATGTGTGGAGATGACAGCACTGCTACACAAGAGCCTCCAAAAAAGGTGAAACCAAATGAGACCAATTATTCCATAATCGTCGATAAATACGGCGAATGGAAACAATTGGTAGCAGCCTCGCCATATTTTACGGTACATCACACACAATTGACGAGACAACAAATTCGGCGTGGATGCAAATTACGGATTTGCATCTACCGTATCGAACATGTGCAAAACGACAACAATCAACAACAGCAAATGTCATAAAGTGAATGGCAAAATGCATCAGTGCTACAATAGCGATGGATCCGGTATGCTAAGGCAAGCAACGCTGCCCCAACAACGATCCCCACCTCAATTGCAGACCTGACACACTTTAACATGACACCTTACAACAAACACGAACGAGCACATGCGACATTGTACTGGTACAACGACGACAACGCATAACAATGAGTGTCTTGGGGAGAATGCTAAAATGCATCGATGATGCAACAAAGGTTGGTCTGGCACGCTAAGGCTATTGCCCCACCGGCGATCACAACCTGAGTTGCATACACGAGGCACTTCAGCACACGCCTTGAGACAGACACAAACGATACAAACAACACGACTGCACATGCACACACAGGCTCACACACACACATACACACTGACACGCACGCAAACAAGCACAGATACATACGGATAGTCAACACACAACCATCATGAAATTCAGCTATTAGTAAATCATCACTAGCCAATCACCCCTTACCCTCCCTACACCCCTCCCTTCCTCCCTCCCTCCCTCCTTCCTTCCCTCCCTCCCTCCCTCCCTCCCTCCCTCCCTCCCTCCCTGCCTCCTTGCCTCCCTCCATCCCTCCCTCCGTCCCTCCCTCATCTCCCTCCCATTGCCTCCCTCATCTCCCTCCTCCGCCAAACATAATCAAAGAATGCAGCTTACGAGCCCTGCACAAAGTAAAAACAGAGAATGCAACACACCCTGCACAAGAAAGCAAAAACAGAGGATGCAACTCATGTGAGGAGGCCAATTAGGAAACAACGCACCCACACTGCATAAGAAAGCAAAAACAAAGAGAGTACACCTCATAGGATTGCACAAGAAGACAAAAGCAGAGAATGCAGCTCACCCATTAGAGACGAAATAAGCACAATGGAAAAAGATGAGCAATCGATTTGACAGCTCACAGAGGTAAATTGGTATTAGTCGTGGCACCACAGATACTACACCAGCATGATGCCATGCCTTGAAGCCACCCTCAAGTTCAACTTCACACTCACGTTCGCACTCAATCTTGTACTCAATCCCGCACCCACTCACACACGCACAAATACTCTCAACTTTCTTAGACACACTCACACAGAAACACACATACAAACCTACACGTTAACTCTTGCACTTACCCTCGCACTCATGATCATTCTCATTCCAATCATACGTTACACGTTACAAATACTTCCACGCGCACGCAAGGACACTCACACGCACCCTTGCACTCACACTCGCACTTGCTCTCGCATTCACCCTAAGACAGTCTCGCTCTCAGCCTTGCACTCACACGCACACCCACTCATCCTCGCACTCACCCTTGAACTACCCTCACACTCGAGCTCACACTCGCCCCAAACCCTGCACCATCATATTTACACTCACATTCACTCTCGCACTTGCTCTAACTCTTGCTCTCGTTCTCACCCTCGCACTCACCTAAACACGCACCCTCGTACTTCCTCTCATATTCACCCGCATACACGCACTTGCACGCACCCTCGCACTTACCCTCAAGTACATGCGCGTACTCACACTCGCAGTCACACCCGCTTTCGCACCCGGATACCGCCCTCTCACCCTCACACACTCCCGTACTCACTCTCGCAACCACTCACGGACGCACAATTACTTTCAACCGTTCTTAGACACACCCTCAGAAACACAAACACACACCCTTGCACTCACCCTCGAACTCGCGCACTCACTCGAACACTTTCACACTCACACGCACACACAGTCGCCGGCACGGTGGCACCCTTGAACTCAACTCACACCCACACCCACACACTCGCCCTCGAACTCACCCTCGCACTCACTCTTCTACTTGCCCTCACACACCATCTCACACACCCTCGCACTCACACCCGCGCTCACGCTTGCACTAAACATCGCAGCCACCATCTAACTCACCATCGCACTCACTCTTGCACTCACTCTCGCACTCACTCTTGCACTCAAACACATGTAATGTACTCTCAACTCTTCTTCAACAATCACAGAAACACACACACAAACTCTTGCACTCATCATCGTACTCACCCTAGCACACACTCAAACGGACCCTCGCACTCCCCCTTGCACTAACACACACTCACACTCGTACTCACCCTCAAACTCGCCCTGGCACTCACTCTCACAATTGCTTTCGCACTCACACTCGCGCTTACGCTCGCACCTGCTCTCTCGTTCACACTCGCACTTGCCCTTGCACTCACAACCGCACTCACCCGCAAGTGCACGTGCACATCCAAGTCTCGCCCTCACGTCGCCCGTGCCCAAGCCGCCAGCAAGTGCAAGCGCCCACGGCGCCCGCGCCCACTGCACCAGCGCCTTAGGCGCCAGCACAAACGGCGCTCGCGCCCAAGGCGCCAGAGCCCCCGGCGCAAGCGCCCACAGAGCCAGCGCCTCATGGGGCAGCACCCACGGCGCTCGCGCCCTAAGCGCAAGCACGTTAGGTGCTAGCACCCACGGAGCCCGCGCCAACGGCGCAAGCGCCCACGGCGCCAGCGCCCATGGCGCAAGAGCCTTAGGCGCAAGCGGCCAAGGCGTCTGCGCCATAAGCGCAAGCGCCTTAGGCGCCAGCAACCACGGCGCTTGCGCCCACGGCCCCAGCGCCCTAAGCGCAAGGGGCTAGGCACAAGCGCCAATAGGGCCCGCGCCGACGGCGCAAGCGCGCACGGCGCTCTCTCTCGCGCCTCTCCCTCTAGTGCTTCCTTAGCTCTCACGCGCGCACTCTCCTGCGCTCTCGCTCCCTCGCGCTCCCTCTCCCCCCTCTTCAAATAGTAGTGCAACGCAAGAGACCAATCAACACACAGAAACTACAAATACGATAGGAAAAATCGGAAATATAGGACCTTTCAGTAGGGGGAAGGGAGGAAAAAAGGACAGGGAAAGGTAAACGCACCTGCAATTCACGGTGCAGAGTCAAACCCGCGCTCGCGCACCGGCTCCCACTCGCGCATCAGCTTGCTCGTGACCTGTCGACAGAGTCGGCGGCGGGATGGGAGGGAGAGGCGACGGCGGGATGCGAGGGAGAGGCGACGGCGGGATGGGAGGGAGCGGCGACGGCGGGAGGAGGGAGCGGCGACGGCGGATGGGGGGGAAAGGCGACCGTGATGCGGAGGGAGAGGCGACGGCGGGGAGGAGGGAGAGGCGACGGCGGGGAGGAGGGAGAGGCGACGGCGGGGAGGAGGGAGAGGCGACGGCGGGGAGGAGGGAGAGGCGACGGCGGGGAGGAGGGATGGGCGACGGCGGGGAGGAGGGAGAGGCGACGGCGGGGAGGAGGGAGAGGCGACGGCGGGGAGGAGGGAGAGGCGACGGCGGGGAGGAGGGATGGGCGACTGCAGGGAGGAGGGAGAGGCGACGGCGGGGAGGAGGGATGGGCGACGGCGAGGAGGAGGGAGAGGCGACGGCGGGAGGGAGGGAGAGTCGACGGCGGGAGGAACGGAGAGGCGACGGCGGGAGGGAGGGAGAGGCCTCGGCATAGTGGGAGGGAGAGGGGAAGGGGGGCTGGAATCGAGAGAGGATGGCGGGGTGGGAGGGAGTAGCGATGGAAAGGTGGGTGGGAGGGAGAGGCGATGACGTGGTGGGTGGGAGGGTGAGGCAACAGCTGGTGGGGGAGGAGAAGTGATGACGGGGTGGGAGGGAGTGCCAAACAAGAAACTACAGTAAACGAAAACGTTGGGGCAATCTGAAAGCCAGCACAGAACTTGGGCACTTGGAATTCAAAACAAAAACCAAACGCTGGTGCCACGTGAGAACACACACGGATAATCACGTGAAATTTGTGTGAGCTGGAAAACAGTTCAATTTGAACCACACTTTTGCTAGAGCAAGAACCGGATAGTATAGTGTTACAGAATATACTATTGAAGATATAAAACATAGTTGTTCACTCAATTTTATAAACTACTTATCAAAAAGACACTCAATTGTTCTATTCACCCATGGTTTAGCAATGGAATCATAAACAAACACATTATTTCATAATCAAAAAGTAACTAGACTTGCTATATTCATTAATACATGAAAGTTAAAACTTGGTGCTATATAAATACATTAAATTGCTTGTCCTCGTGTTTTGTAAAATATGAATGTGACAACTACGCAACCCATCCGACGTTAACGTCGAATCTTGTCTTCTCTATAAACATTTCCTTGTGCATTTTCATTCCTATGCAGGATTTATCCGTAAATAGACAAGACTCGACGTTAACGTCGGAAGGGTTGCGTAGGAGTTATACGGTATTCTGATTACAAATAACTAATGAAATTCACTAAATTATACCGTTTTACCCCGGATAAAAGCGCATGTGCGCTTATAATAAAACACTGTTTTTTAGGGGGGTGCGCTTCTAATCGAGTCATGTGTATAAGCGCATGCGCTTGTAATAGGAAAAAAAATCACTTTTAAACATACCAAATTGAAGCCCGCAATCAGGCGAATTCAACCCGACCATGCAACACGTGGGATCGTGCATGGTTTCCAGACAAAAACAGCTGCGGTTCGGTTTCCCACTGCACAGTTTTGTCTAGAACCATCGATCGTGACAGCAGTGACGGGGATGTTGCCGTGCGGCCCAATCACAGTCGCATGCATTGCGTGGCATGTGCATTTCTTCCGAACCCTCTCGAAGGGTGGGGAATATTCCCTGCCAGCGCACCGTTTATGCTGCCACGCAGGGTCCTCTACGGGGGTAGGCGGGGGTTTCCCGCCTGTCATTGACGAGGACCCCAAGGCGCCAACCTTACGGGGTCCCCTTCGTTGCCCATTTGTTCACCCTCGTTTTCATTTCTTTCATTCAGATTCCAGTGTAGGCCGCCTGGCTAGCGAAGCCATGGCGGAATTCAGCGGGACGCACTTCCTCTTCAAGAACAAGAGAGCTCGCCCATGGCGACTTACCGACGACGGGTGGTATACTCGTGAGCCAGCAGCGCCTCCAGTGCCACCTGAACCCCCAGGGCCCCCTGCTCCTCCTGCTCCTCCTGCACCTCCTGCTCCTCCGGCTCCTCCTGCTCCTCCCGCACCTCCCGCTCCTCCAAATCCGCCTGATATCTGTGCCAGTGCTCACCAACAGCCCGTGCTCCAGCTGTATTTACCAGCCACTTTCGACGAGTGGCTGTCTGAACCGGACACACCCAAGGCCCTTGATGTGTTCATCCAGGCTCCGCCGCCTGCACCACGGTGGGGACAGCTCGAAGCCTGCACGTGGGACGAGTCGGATTTGGGCGCCGACGATGACGTGGCTGCCGATAAACAAAACAGCGGCGACGGCGACGGTGTCGACGACGGTGAAGCGGGCGCCGAGGAGGACGTGTTCCCAGATCGTGGTGCAAGTGCCGAGGATGACGACGGTGTGGAGTCATGGTGGCGCGACGCACCACGCGAGAAGATGTCGATACCGACGTATCCGCCGATTAACAAAAAACGACCCCACCCCTCCTCCCAGAACCGAGATGCCCGCCCCCCCTCTCGTAGGCACAAGCCGTCTCAACATAAACGACAGTCCTACACCTCCCAGGAGAAACTCAGGTGGCTCGTGCGGCTGGAGCTGGCAGCATCGATAAGCGAGGTCGCGCGGGAGTTCGGCATACACCGCAAATGCCTGACGGAATGGAAAACCCAAGCAGAGGAGCTCAAGGCTTCACATGCCGCACGGTGTCGACTTCATGGGCGCGGGAGGTCTTCTTGGTACAGACCCATGGATTTAAAGGTGTACGCTTAACTCCTCGACTGGCGACGCCGCGGTGTTGCAGTTTCAGTCGGCCAGCTCCAAGATTGGACACGCGAAGTGATGAAGGTGCTGTTCCCGGAAGTCAAGTTGAAAGGGAGTCAGCGGTGGTCGGAGCAGTTCCGCAAGCGGTGGAACCTCAGCGTGCGCATGAAAACTAAGGTGGCACAGAAAACGCAGGAGAGTAAGTGCCTTGTTTCCCGCTTACCTCGAGCGAATTCGCATGGTTTAAGAGTTGTTGCTCCTGCACTTCCTATCTTTATCTTGTAGCGGTACTCATCCTTCTTCCTATCTGTCCTTCCCTCCCCGTGCGCAGACGTGGCGACGCAGTGCAAAGTATTTTGGCAGTTCGTCCGCGACGCACGCAACGAGTACGCGATCGACAATCGATACATAATCAATGCCGACCAAACGCCTCTTTGGTTGGAGATGCCGGCCACTACCACCGTGGAGCAGACGGGCGTGAAGTCAGTGCCCATCCGCAACGCTGGTTACCAGAAATAAAGAGTCACCGTGATGCTGGCGTGCACGGCGACGGGCGAGAAGTTGAAGCCGTCGGTGTTTTTCAAGCGCAAGACACTGCCTAAGGGTGACTTCCCGAACGGTAAGCACATGTTCTTGTGCGTGTTTTGGACGTTCAACAAAAAAAAAGGGACTAACCACCGCTTGCTTGTGTGCAGATGTCGTGGTCGGCTGCCAAACGAACGGGTGGATGGAGGCCACGGGCGTCATCCAGTGGCTCGATGAGGGCGTGGTGCCATTCCTGAAACCAAAATTCGGCGTGCAGAGTCGGAGCGCCATGCTAGTACTCGACTCCTACCGTGGTCACCTTACCAAGGAAGTCAAGGCGAGATTCGCGGCGCTCAACATCATGCTGGGAGTCATCCCGGCGGAATGCACGGCAGACGTGCAGCTGCGCGATGTGTCGGTGAACAAGAGCTTCAAAGCAAGTGTCGGCCAGCAGTACCAGTCCTGGTTTGAGGCGGACGGCATGAACATTCTAACACCTGCAGGTGAGCGAGGACATGTCCTCCCGTCTCCCCTTCGTGTGCTTGTCTGCCTGCTTGTGGACTAATGTGTTCCCCACTCCCTTTCATGTGGTGCAGGGAACATCAAGAAACCACCCCCGGTGTTAGAATAGTAGGCGAGAGTGGGTGACTAGGAAAGGGGGAGGGGTACAAGTAGAATGTCGAGAGAAATGCTGTACCCCCTAAGGCTAAACCCACTATAGCCTAGACAACTGTAAACACATGAACTAAGCCTAGATACAACTAAGCATATATGTTTGACACACCCCCATAGGCGAAGTGGGGGATAGTCAGAACAAGCAATGGTCACAAGACCAGTCAAGAGAAGAAGCAAAGCAAAGCAAGCTCAGGGTGGATCACAAAGTCACCACACAGTCCGAGCACAAGCAAAGGGCCACAAGGCCAGTTCACATGCAGAGTTATATAACGTGAACAAACAATACAGTGATCATACCCTAACAAGTGCAAGCATGCAGGTATATAGACAGATCACAGTACAGGCAGAGTCAGGCAGTAAGTAAGTGAGGCAAAGTAGGCACAAGGCCTAACACAGTAACAAAGCGCTGATGGTCACCAGGCGGAAGTGCCTTGGTGAAGACATCAGCAGTGTTGGCCCGAGTGGCCACGTACGCTAGACGAAGCTGACCACGCTGCTGCAACTCTCGAGCAAGGAAGTATCGCAGAGCGATGTGCTTCGTTCTGTGCTCCAGTCTGTGCTCCTGACACAAGGCTATCATGGCCTTGTTGTCTACGTACAGGACTGGAGGCGAACGAGGCTGCTCTCCCAAGTCGGCCAGCAAGTAGGTGAGCCAGCGTAGCTCCTGAGCAGCCATGGCTCCGGCGTAGATCTCAGCCTCACAGCTGGAGCTGAGAACCGAAGACGAGCGGGTAGACCGCCAAGAAACCGAGCCGGACCCAAGGCTGAAGGTGTAACCCTGCGACGACCGCTGCGTAGCTGAGTCGTCAACCCAGGAGGCATCTGCGTGACCAGTGAGGACAACAGGACCCCGTCCTCCAAGCACAAGCCCCATGCCCGACGTACTGCACAGGTAACGCAGTACCCTCTTTGCAGCATCCCAGTGCACCTTTCGGTGCCTACCGGGAGCCACGTAGCGAGCCAGAAGGCTAAGAGGGTACGCAAGGTCAGGTCGTGTGCAAGTCATCAGGTACATGAGGCAACCCACAAGCTTTGGGTATGGACCACTCGGCTCTACGGACTCGTCCGAAGGTGGAGCTGAGAGTGAGTGGCTGGTAGACAGAGGAGTGAGCTGTGGCGAGGAGTACTGGAAGCCGAAGCGCTGAAGGACCTGGTGCACCATGTGTGACTGAGTCAGTGTGATGGTGCGCCGTGCTCTGTCCCGGGTGATCTGCAGGCCAAGATAGCTGCGCAGTTCACCCAGGTCAGTGCAGGTATGTCTCTTCTGCAGCTCGGACTTCACTAGGGTCAGTGCCTCAGTGTCAGCCGTGGCAAAGACGAGGTCGTCGACGTACACTAGGACGTAGAAGTGCGGCAGCAAGGTGTCGGTGCGAAGAAACAGCGACGGGTCTGCTGTAGAAGGAACAAACCCAAGAGCCGCAAGTGTAGTCGTGAATGTGTCGTGCCACTCGCGAGGCGCCTGGCGGAGACCGTAGACTGGCCGGCGGAGGCTCCACTGGGTACCTGTAGGAAACGACCCAGTGAAACCAGGTGGTCGGCGCAGCCAGATCTCCTCGTGCAGGCTGCCCTGCAGGAAGGCTGTACTGAAGTCCAGGGAGTGTAACTCGTAGTCACGCTGAGCAGCTACGTGCAGCAACACCCGAAGAATAGTCATCTTCGGGGTGGGGGAGAAGGTGTGGAAGTAGTCAACTCCCTGTCGCTGACTGAAACCTCGAGCAACGTAGCGCGCCTTGAAGGCAGGCGGAGAACCCGGCGGCCGCTTCACCTTGAAGATCCACATGCCATCGACTATGTTCACCCCAGGTGGGGGAACCTCGTCGACGAAAGTGCCTGTGGACTTCCAGGATGCCATCTCGGCATCCATAGCTGCCTGCCACTGAGAGGAGTAAGGGCCCGTAATCGCCTCTGCGTAAGAGCGCGGGGTCGAGATGTCTGGAGCATCCGGGTCTCCCTCAGGGGCAAGCAGCAAGGAAGCGAAACGAGGTACAGCAGCTGCAAGACACTCAAAGTCCTCCTGCCTGTCCTCAAGGAC